CCATTGGTGAGCTTGGACTGCCGACCTTGCAGTTCAAACAACTGTGCAGTCTGGCGCATTAACCCACAGCGCCACACCAAGACGTGGTTTTTAGGTGCCGTCATATAGGTTCCTACTCATAGCAACCCTATGCACAACAGAATGAAACACTACCTAGTCCTTTGCCATTCTCACAACTGGTGTATTTGAGACCATTGCTGTTGCCACAGTGTTAATCCATCTGGTTGAGGAGTTCTTCCTCGTTTTTGCTGACCCTCCACTTTACCAAGCATGATGTCCTTCTCCAGCTACTGGTCACTCCTTATAACCTGTCCAGAGTATGAGAGATGAAGTCTCACCATCCTGGCTTCTAAGAAACATTCTGGTTGTACTTCTTCCAACACAGATTCATTTGTTCTCCTAGTACTTTTAATATTCTTCTCCAAAACCATAACTCAAATGCATCAATTCTTCTACAGTTTTCCTTGTTCATTGTCCAACTTCACATGCATATGAGGCTATTGAAAATGCTATGGCTTGGATCACGCACACCTCAGTCCTCAAACTGACACCTTTGCTCTTGAACACTATGAAGAGGTCCTGTGCCTCAGATTTCCCTAATGCAATAGGTCGTTTGATTTTTCGACAGCTGCTTCCATGAGTGTTGAACCTGGCATAATACCACTCAGTCAATATTGAATGAAAACAGTCTCCGTTTCCTTCAACTTTGATTGAATTACTTATATATATTTACCTAAAGCAATGAAGTGAATTATTTCAGTTGCACTATTTTCAGTGTATTGATTTATTTAGTAAATAAGCCTTGTTTTGCTTAATAAGACTTATTTATAAAATAAATCAGTATATTAGAAATAATGCAACTGAAATAATTCACTTCTTAGCAACAACAACATTGTGCTTAATAATGATATACATAGGTTGTTGTTGTTGTTAAGTGCCATCGAGTCTGTTCCAACCCATGGCAACCCTGTATAGGGTTTCCGAGGAGCGGTTGGTGAGTTTGAACTGCCGACCTTGTTGCTCAAATTGACTTTACAGTCTAGCGCCTTAACCCACAGCACCACACCAGGACTCCATACATAGGTTAATATTGAATAATGTTGGCCAGTTACTCTTAAATTCTAAACAACACAAATCTTTAAAATTTTTCGTTTCTTAAATATTCTGTTTTACCTTTGGATATTTGTTTGTATTTCCATGACCACAAGCCATTAAAAAGTGCTTAAATGTTTTTAGAACACTTTAGACCAATTTGGAAAATATATATGTGATGACATTCTCTCTTGGCCACAATTGTATCCTGCTTTAGAGTCATTAGCTCATGTCATCCTATCCACCAAACCAGAGTAGTGTGTATTTCCTATTTGAATAAATAATTTTATGGATTTAAAAATCTTTTGTTTCAAGGTTTCATCATCCAAACATACTGGAGTTGGCTGCATATTTTACAGAGACTGAGAAATTCTGTCTGGTTTATCCATATATGGAAAATGGATCACTTTTTGACAGATTACAATGTGTAGTAAGTTGTATCTATTACTTTGCCTGGTCCTCTGACCCTCTGTCACCCAGGGAGCTGCTACCTGGGCAAACTGGGAAGCCAAGGTGTGTTCACAGAAAGGGAGAGCCTAGGATGGGGTTCCCAAGGAAGTAGATAGAGCACTTCTCTATGAATTAATTTTTTACTCTTAAAAGAAACATAAATGTCTGAGTTGTTGTGTGCTGTGCCAGATGGTTACCAAAAATGTGTTAATCTTTACTTATTTTTGATTCTATACCTTTAGTGAGTTTATATTAACCACCCTTATTTCTCAAATAATTTGTATTTGTATAACTTTATGCAAAGTATCACTCAGTACAAACTATAGGAATAAAGGTGATAGAGACCCTGAAAGAGGAGATTAAAGAATGCCATGATTTCTCATCAGACAAAACAAATGTTTTTAATAATAGCTTATTGTGTTTAGGGTAAAAGTTTACACAACAAGCTAGGTTCTCATTTGACAATTTCCACTCAAATTGATCAATGATATTAGGTACCTTTTCACAATATTTCAATGTTCTCTTTGTGCTCTGGTTGTTCCATTTTGAGTACTCTAGTTTCCCTTATTTTCTCAGTTAGTTTTAGAGTAATTGTTGACCAGTTGGTTTCACATAGATGGTTTCTTAGTACATCACCAACCCAGTGGGTAATACTGCGTCACTTCTCTCTACTAAAAGTTGATCTCAGGGGATAGTTTTAGTTCAGGGTTTAAAGGTCTCTGGGAGATGGTCTCAAGGAGTCTTCTGGTCTCATGTAGTCTAGTTAGTCTGGAGTTTATTTTTTTTTCATAATTTGAGTTTTGTTGTACATTTTCCTCCTATTCTATCCATCTGGTCACATCTATCCGTGGTAGGGCCTGAGCACTGTCTAGTTCTTCTGATCTCAGGATAGTTGTGGTCATGGCATGTCTACGCTACCAGCCTTCTCCAGGTGTTTTTTGAAGGATAAACTTAAAATTCAATTCTGAATAGATTCTTTCAGTAGCATGAGAATAAAAACAGATTATCCTCAAACATACTATATGGTGCCCCAAATAATTTTAAAATCTTGTTTAATGAACTTTTAAACACAGTTAACCACACTATCCATGTTTTGGTAAAGCTAATATTAAACTAAGGAGCATTGGTAGC